ACTACCACTACCACTCCTACTCCTACTCCTACTCCTACTGCTACTGCTACTGCTACTGCTACTGCTACTGCTACTGCTACTGCTACTGCTACTGCTACTGCTACTGCTACTACTACTGCTTTGACTACAACTCCTGCTGATTCTTCTTCTTCTACTTCTACGACCACCACCACCACCACCACAACCACGGCTAACGCTGCTACGACGAACACTACTACGATTAACACTACTACGACCAGCACTACCGCGACTAACACGACGACGACTACCACTACAGCTGCCGCTACCGCTACTGCCACCGCTACCACTACTGTTGATGATATAAATCCTGCATGACCTTAAGGATCCTAAACTATGGGAATCCTGGTGTATTCCCTATTATGGGTAATGCAGGGTTCATATCATCAACAGTACGACCACCACCACAACCACTACCACTACGACCACGACGAGGACTACTACACTCCTGCCACCTACTCCAACTATCAGAATTGCGGAGAAAAGTAACATTGCTGCCCGGTACTATCAGTCAGTACAACATACTCGTACCGCTACTGCTACTAACTAAGGGTTTGCTAAGAGTTTAAAAGCAGCATTGTTAGATGTTCTGTTCGTCTTCTGAATGAACCTTTCTCGCAGAAGCCTGTTACATGAAGTTACATGAACGATTCGTCCTTTACAAGGCTCTCATAGGTAGTATTGGTTGGCATTGCTTATGATACTGCTACGATAGATGTGTAGCCTCTCGTGCTTCCTTGTCAGACATCTCCTGTGCTTCTGGGATGACCGAAGCAATCGACCTTGGCGAAGCTCTTCGCCATGAAAACAAAAGCACTTGGAACAAGCCAAGGTGTGCTCTTCCAGAAGTACATGGTAGTGGTCAGGCTCGAGCATCAGCGCTTTGCCATTCAGAGGCCAGTAGTTGAAAAGTTGCCAGAAGTAGCTCGAATCCTCAGCACCCGTTTCATCCGTTGGTCTTTGTCCAGCATCGTGCGGATGCATTGAGCCGCTGCAGCATGACATCCCAAATCTAACTTACTAAGCAGCGGCCGAGTATCTATGTCTGTCCATACGGGAAATCGTGCTGCAGCCTCCGTGGTCAGCCAGAATCCTACTGCTACATACTGCCACGTGCGGATAGTGTCATCCTGTCTGGGTGGCGAGCCTTCTCCGTAACCTCGAGAAGGATCTTGTTGTAATGACCTGACCATGTTTCGTAAGCGTTGAAGTCTCGTCGCCGCTTCAACAGCTGAGTGCAGCATGGGCACACATCTGTAGGCGTGACAGAGCACGTTGGACTGTCGCTGGCATAGCTGGATCGATGAAACTTGGCCCCAGCTTTTTCAGCACACCTGCCAGAATGCCGGATCCTAGAGTGGTTGACCATCTAATCTAGCTTGACACAAGAGCACTGGCGAAAGCACAGCGCACAGCCCGTGACTACAATGACTACAAAATGGAAAGAGCTTGCTGCATCGCACGGCTGTCTAGGCAACGGCCGGCTTTGTTATGAACTGTTGTGCAAAGGAGCCCAAAGACGCGGTGAGCACTGCCCATGTGGCACGGCAGCGTAGGCCGCTTCGGCAGTGTACTACAACACCTGCTGGATCCTGTCAGGCATTTTGTGGCATTGCAGGTGAGTCAACAAGCGGAAGCAGACTGCATCAACAGTCGATGCCTCTCGCATATGCACCACCTCTTCTCCGAAACGCACCTCACTGTCACGCCCAAGCCACCATCGGGTGCAGTCAGCAATCATTCCCATCTCGATGTTCCCCTGTGGTTGCCAAGGAGCTTGGACGCCGCGCCGCTTTGCATCCGCAGCCAGACGTGCTGCGAGGGACTCTGCACCGCCTGGAAAGGCCACACTTGGGTTCGACGTCGTCCATGACCTAGCCTGTTGGCGTGGCCGGCATGCTGCCTTTTAGGACAGCATGAGGTCCAGGATAGTCGCCCATGGATCCATGCTCCGAGTCCCACTCCAGCATGCCAATCTCCTCCTCAGCTGAAATGTGCTCTTGTCGATCATGAGATAAGAATGCTCGTGCTGACAACTTCCTCTGCCGATACAGACTAATGACGAATTGTAATGTGGGAACGCGGATCTCAAGCGTAATCCCATTTCGGGAAGCGACCACATGCCACAAACACGCTTGTGAAGCATGAGGTCTGATGGGAAAGGCCTCTGGTGGCATTGTGGCATCTCGGAAGCGGGTGTTTTGAACAAGTGCGCCGGAGGCTACATCAATTTTCTTGTCGATACTTGTCAATGCTTTTGAGAGCCGACCGCGATGTGCTACCGTGCGAAAAGGTTCCAAAGCACAGACAAGGATCAGCAGAAGTCCCAAACCAAAGCTGCAGAAGCCGCAGACGCCTGGCTTCGGCTTCGCTCAGTGGCCCGAGTGTAGCTTCGGTGTCTCGAAGTCCTTCCTGACAGCACACTGTAGGACACTGTAGGAGATGGGCCCACAGCATGGCCACAGCAGAAGCTCCTGGAGGGACTTTCCTGGAACGCCACGGCCGGCGGCGCTCCCAAGCTGAGCAAGTCGCCGCTCCCAGAGGTCATCCTCCTGTGACAAGAGACCGATGCGCACGCTCTAGGAGCTGCCAGCCACGTGGATCACACTTGGCGCACCGGAGAGCGGACGAAGCTGCAGCTGTCGCCGCCAGCGGCACCGTGCAGCCAGATGTTGTGGCCACTGCTCGGTAAGATGTCCTCAAGTCTAACAGCAACCAGCATGACATCGGCAGCGTGCACATGCATGCACGCTCCGCCTCCTTGTGAAGTAGGCCATCCAGCAGCAAAGGGTTGCCGTCAGTGCCTTCGCTCAGGTCTGCAAGCACCGCTGATGCCATGATGGATCATGATGGTAAGTCGGTGCTGCTGGCAGAACGGGCGGCCATGAACCCATGCCGCACCGGCGTCCGCCGTCACATCGCCGACCTCGCACAGAAATGAGACGGGAGTGGCTATGACCTGAAGGCCTGAAGCTGCCTCGAATGAGCATTTCCCGCCTCATCATGCCGGGCTAAGACAACACGCACAGCACATCAGAGTGTCAGTTGACTGTCATTTCGAGACTGTTGGCTGGCACAGCTTACAACTCGCAGCTACATGATCGGCCACCCCCCCGACGCCATGAAACACTTCGAAGTCAAGAATGCAGGATGCGACTCGATTCTGCAGGACAAGCCTTGAGGCTGCAAAGTCTGCCGCCAAGCCGGTCCTGCCACTCGAGGAGCAGAACCTGCGACCAAGCAAAATCATGGGCACGCAAGGCGCCGCAAGGCGACGCAAGGCGCCGCAAGGCCGGTCCGTCTAACATTCCAACTCCCCATGGGCAGTCTCCTGTACTCAGACTCTGTGCTGCTTCGGTGACTTCGGTGAGGCCTGCAGCTCCGGTCGCGCGCGCAGAACTCGCTCGGAGCAGGTCAGGCCGGCAACGCCGCCTGTAGGGCAGGACTTCTCAACGACCGCAATTTTTAGGGAAAGTCTGAAAGAGCCCGTGCCGAAACGCAAGCAGGTTACTCCACAATCATGCAAGCATTAAACAAACGGTTTGTTGAAGGGGGGGGTATGACAAACTATCGCCGACATCAACTGCTGTGTTGATCTGCAAGGTCTCTAGCACTGATGTGCACTTGCTACAACTTGCGCTAGCTTCCTCCGTGCGATTATGGTTCCTTCAGGTCCCTGCAAAAAACAGTTCACATGAAAAGGCAGGGAGGAAATATTGCCCTCTCGAAACGTACTTGCCTCAAAAGTTGCTTTCCGTTTGAGGCTCTCTCTCTCCCCGTGTTCCCTGACTCAGCACTGGCAAGACGAAAGCACATCCTAGTGCCCCGCCCCCGCCTCCAATGATCACGACATCAGCAGAAAGCTCCTCGGGGCAGTTCTGATTCTTGAATCAATTTTCTAACGGCCGAAAAGTTCAAACTCAATTCATACTTTGTGAAGGGATCCTCTGGTTCGACAGGCATGCGCAGAGCCAAAATGCCGGATCCCAATTCTGAAGAGCACATGCGCAGGTGCACATGGACGGGTACATCTGCGCATACTTCATGCACATATTTCTTATGTGTAAATTATACCGTACCTGTGAAGATGAAATATTCAACTAAGCTGAGCGTATGACAGCACTGCATGAGGTTGCCATAAACATTCGTCATTGGCCAAATTTGGTGAAAAACACGATACCTGTCACGATGCTGCATCCAAGAAAATTCCGGCTGCCTTGCCTCGTCCATGTGCATAGATTCGAAACGTTCCAGCAAGGCCTCGCAACTGGTTTAATCAGGCTGCCCTTGTTCAGTCGCTATGAGTACCATGGGGACGTAGAAAATATCCGCCGACCCCTGCTGG